AAAAAAAAAAAAAAAAAAAAACAAAGTTTATGCAGAAAGCAGGTTTTCTGTGTAAACTTTATTTTTTTCCTTTTCTTTAGATTTTTTATTAAAAGATTTAAAAATAAAGTTTACGTATATCACATTTAACTACTTCTCTCAATTTGCATATATATGTTTAAATACTACTTTTCTCAATTTGCATATGTATGTTTAAATTATTGAACATATATACGAAAGATTTATATAGAGATGGAGAAGAGATTGAAAATATATGTATATCAAGAAGGTACTACATGATGGTGTAATTTTATAATGTATATATATTAATAGGTGTAACACCCGCAATTTAGTTATCTTCATGAGGTTAGAATTCATCTGTATTTCCTTTTCTAAAGTATTAAATTCGTTTCCATAGGAGCAACTTAGGTATGGGATGTTTGGTGATGCTTTAAACTCAAGAAAATGGGTTTTAGGATGAGAAACATAATGAAATGCGGGTTTCATGCGGTTAAACCCACATTAGGCTTGCATTTGGCACTGCTTATGACATGTTTAAAAACCATCCGGACGACTTTGAAGTGGGTTTACCCACATTAAACTCGCATTAGTCACCTGGGCAGCTAAAAAGTCGATTTTCGGGGATTTTCTTCATTTTGCTCTATCTCCCTCATTGCGACTCCATTTTGGACGATTCTTTTTGCTATGACGTCGTTTTTTTAGATCTTCAAGATGGAAACAATGGTTATTAAAGATTTTTTTGATGATTTAGGGTTCATAGAAGTTGAAGGTAAGATCACATCTTTATCTTTTAACTTAAGGTTTGGCGATTTTGCTTCCTCAACTCACTTCACCACTTTGTGGTGATTTTCTAGGGTTTAGGAGTTCAAATAAGTGGTTTTGAATTCTTGGAAACATCAAATCTAAAGTTCTAGTTTGGAGATATAAGCTATTCTCTAAAGAAAACTCAAGTTTGGGTAAAACTTCGGCTTACTCTAAATCTAACAAGGTGAGTTCAAGTTGTTTTGTGAAAACTATGAACATGCCAAAATATGTATTTTGAAGTATTAAAGTGTTCTATTTGATATTTATCAAATGTGTTGAGTATTTGATGAAATTTGCATATCTGGTAAATACGTTTTATTTCTTTTGAGATCCAATATGAACCACTCGTTTAGAGCATGTGTTTGCATAATCGTTTGGTAAATATGTTTTTTTCTTATGAAAACTATTTTATAGTCAATGAATTTGTTGAACATTTGGCTTGTTTTTGACTTAAATGAGTCTTGGCTATATTTGTTTGATTTAATTTGCTCTATGTTGGACCTTTGGAATTATATGCGGTTATTACATATTTATTTGATATTACACCTTTTGGATGTGTTAGTCATACATTTGTGTCGTGTAATTTTAGACTATAATGCAGTGAATCTATTGACATAAGAGTCAGTTGGAATGGGATAGTATTCCTTGTATTGTAGCTAGAGACTCGGATCAGCAGAGGACTCGAGGTAAAGACTTAGATAGAGTTGAAGTCGATGACTTTGTAGTCCGTAGTGACTGTCATTTCTAGTAGATCAGCTTAATTTGGATTTGAGAGATCCCAAGTTAAAAACTTGGACAGAGTTGAACTTGGTGACTCTCCAAACAAAAGACTTGTATAGAGTTCAGCTTGTTAACCCATTTGAC